AAGGCGTTGAGAATAAGAATAATAAAGATTCATGAGATTTCTGGCTGAAAGGTTATTTTAAGAAACTATGGTAGTCAGCATGTGCTTCGTGTTTCATCCGAATTGGATCAGCGAGTTAGGAAGATGTGGAAGATGCTGTGATTTGAGCCATATGTAGGAACAGAGTCCTGGTGAGTTGAGAATGTAGCAAGGTCCATGTTGGCCAAACTTGGACAGCTTGTGGAGAACTCCCGATGATATTCCTCGACAGAGCCGACAGTGGGCTACCTAGACAGAAGTCTGTACGCCTGTCATAATATAACTGTTGTTATTTTCTTGAATGTTTCAATAATTTTGACTAAGGATTCCATAGTTTGTCAAGGTTTTAAATTTAAAGTATTTCTAGAATACAATAAAGTATTTCCTCTATTCTCACATTATACAACCATCACTTCTCGCCATCTATATAGGCAAAAGAATATTTATATAACTTTAGCTCTTCATAGTCAAAAATCTATATTTTCCCAAATATAATTAAATATATTTTATTTTGAAAATAGAGTAATCCATATTTAATTCATTAGATAATAAAAGGCATATATTAAGGTTGGCATATATTAAGGCCTCGATAAAGGTTGGCGTTCAGCCAGCCGAAATATTGGCAAAATAAATATTTTATTAAATCCAATATATGCCTTTTATTATCTAATATATTTTTATGTAAAAAGTAATAAAAATAAAGAGCAGATGTCGTGATATTAAAAATGAATAAAGACATATCCTCACTACTCAGGATATAGGGATATCTATTCTTAATATCAACAGTTTACAATTTTTAAGATATATATTTAAATATTTTTTTGAAAATAGAGCCAATCCGTATTTAAATCTTCAGGTAATAAAAAGTCATATGTTGGAAGAGGCTGTAGTGTGTCGGGCCAAAGGTAAGTACAGTAAAATCTCCACGAGAGGACCCTCGCGCTAAAAGACACATCTCTACAAAGGATAGTTTTCATTCCCAAAATTTACATTTTTACTATTTTGCAACTCTCTGGTAAGAGGAAACCTCTCCCTAAAGGACACTTTGGCTCAACAATTAGGTGTCCTTTACAGAGAGGTAGTTCTATTGTAGTCTTCAGTAAGAGGACACCTCTCTACAAAGGACAGTTTTCATTTGCAAAATTTCCATTTTTACAATTTAGCAGCTCACCGGTAACACCTCTCCCTAAAGGACACTTTGAATCTACAATTAGGTGTTGTCCTTTACAGGGAGGTAGTTCTACTGTAGGGACAAATATATATATTTTTTCAATATTGTAATATATGCATTTTTATAATTCCTATCCCCATTTTCCCATCTCTGGACACTTTTATTTTTCCGTTTATCATTACTCTTCACAATTCATCCTTTCATACTTCATCCCTAAGGTTAGAAATAATCGTTATTTCTCCTTAAAATAAATTTCGATTTTTGGTTCAAAAGAAATACATGCGGGATAATTTTCAAATGTCATTCTATATGCATTTTTATTTCATAAATATTGTTAAATATATCCAATTGATTAGATAATAAAAAGGCATATATTGGATTTGATAGAAGATTTATTTTGCCAATATTTCGGTTGGCTGAACGCCAAGCCTTTATCAAGGCATTACATTTTTGTATACACAAACTCAGCGCCGCATAGTGTTATAATATCACAGTTGAAATAATTATTTTTAAAAAAGTAGGTGGAGGAAATTGTGCAAGCAAAAATATTTTAAAAAGTTACAATCAGAATAAGTGTGATAAAGGTTTGGCGTTCAGCCAACCGAAATATTGGCAAAATAAATCTTTTATTAAATCCAATATATGCCTTTTTTATCTAATGAATTAAATATGGATTGCTCTATTTTCAAAACAATATCCAATTGAGCAATATGCTTTATGTTATTGCCTCAACATTTCTGTGAAAAGACATTCTATTGCTTTCCAATTTGATATGCATGTCTCAACCTAATATTCCAGGCATCCTACCTTGGCTATACTTGGGATGTTTCACCAACAACATGGCAGACATTTATACTCTAGACAGACGACCTGGATTGATGAACTGTGGAAACATCTGGCAATGTGATTGATCCTTGACGTCACCAGATTTGACGATGTTTTAATAAGCTTTAATTGAACATCTTTTGATTTATTTTTATCTACTCCCATACTACTTTAAAAAATTAAAATTTTATACACACATCCAATAACATTGCAATGTGTACAGAATTTGAACTTCTATGTGAATCTCTGCAATCCGTTTATTTAGACTGGAATAAATTTAAATTGTTTAATAACGGAAGCTGATATATTTATTTATTCTTTTTTTAGAAAATATTCAATTGTTGGTTGTGGAAATAGGGATTTTTTTTATTTAACAGTTTCAAAGACACGCCATATCCACAATTAGGATAATTGCGTGTAAATATGAAATTATATACAAATCATCATGAAATTAACATAATTAAACATTGGGAAGCACGCAAATTACATATTCGATGTCAAATTCTGCATATAGTAATTAGAAATAGTAGCTTGAAATATTTACACATGTGTACACAAAATTGTCATTTATAACAGTTAGAACAACGTGTAGACTAAGTAAATTAATCACATCCAATAATCATCCCTGAGTTTCCAGGTCCCATTGATTAATGTGTTGGAATTTCATAAAGATATTTTGCTTATTTTCAAAAATAAATATTATTATATATTTATTTAACCCAGTAGGTTCCTGGAGCCACCACGTACAGAAGTCACCCGGGCTGACATCTTCTTGGTTTGATATACAATGTCAGTGGAAGTCCAATTACTGAGGAATTGCATTGCAGTTTTATTTCTTAGGAGATTCAATTATTAGTCAGCTAAACGCCGTGAGGCTGTGTGGTGATTATCTTGTTGTTACATCGCATTTGGATAGGGAGAATATCTCAGTAGTCAATCCGCAGGTCGAGGTGAAAACATACAGTCCATATTAAGCTCTGCCGAAAGATAGTCAGCATCTAAAACAAAGGTTAAGGAGCTACACGGATTTCCAAACTATTACTGTGAGGATCCAAGCTGCAACATACTAAGGTTGATGATCCCTAAGAAGGTGGACATCCGTTGGAAGGTTGGGTAGATGAAGACATTATTGTATAGTGGTTGTTAAGAACAAAGTCTTTACGACAGTACGGGGGAAGTACACTATTCTCTGGACCAAAGTCTTTACAATAGAATAGAAAAACATTATTGAATGCTTTCGATAAGGAGGTGCCTTTTTTCTTTCTTAACTTATACATCTTATTACAATATCACATTTGTACAGTTTTTCAAAATCAATATAGTTATATTAAGATGCATTAGCGCGCCATCTGTTATGAAAATTCGAAACTATTATAGACGTGTATGATTCTTTTAAAAATAAAACAATTTCTACTGCCCTCACTGCAATAGAAAAAATTAATGGGAAGGCCTGGTTCATCAGTGGTGAACCCTCCCAGCGGTGTCGCCAGTTTAATCTACCATACCGCTGTTATATTGCATTTTTCGATTTTTTTTTTTTTTTTTTGCAGTGATACTGATGCTAGACTCTTGGAATGGGTATTTTAGATGAACTATGGACATAAGCTAGTTATACAGTTAACTAGAAGTTATACCACTAATTGTTCACACCTGTTGAAGAGGGGTATGTTAGACCGAAAGCTGGAAAAATACAATTATACAAGAAAGTAAGCCCTGGATTCCTTGACTAAAATCTTCACCACAGAACAGCGGAATGTGAGCTGTCTGGACCAGAGCAAAGACACCGAGATAAAGTGACCACAGACACAATGAACTTATTGGTGGCTGCAGACAACATGTGACCTTGGCCTGACTTGACCTCTGGTTGAAGGAACTGCAGACGTTCTGTGATCGCTTCTTGCCAATGGATATCTTAGTTACTCGATGCAACCACTTTTTATTTTATTTCAATTTAAAGTGCTATGTTCCCCTAGGGACACTTACGCTGTCATACATGTATGCCTTTACATTTGTCTATACATACATGACATAATAAAAATATGATTTTTATTATTCATAAAATAATTAAAATTCTATAATCACAGAGTTAAATTTTAAAATGAAAAGGAATCCTTAACAAAAGGAATATAACCTCATTTTTATTTTTATTGTAAATAGATAATAATAACATTGTTAGTTGTATGTATGCAAAAACTGTTTGTTTTGAAAAATAATCAAAAATAAATAAATACAATTTTGGGACAAAAGTTATCATTCATTTTTACCATCCACGACTGCATGAATTGGTAACGTACCTAGAATATACGTCTTTTTTTATGACATACATATATATGAAAAAATATTACAAATGTGATATTGTACTGGGATAAGGTGCATAAATTATGAAAAAGGCATCTTCTTATCGTGCAACTGAAAGTTGCTGATGGCTTGCGCCATCTATCGGAATAAATATCAACCATTCTCGTTGATTTCTAATTATTCCAGAATTGGCCAAATACCCATTCTTAATTCCCAATCCAAATACCAATTTTTTATTCGTTGAGGTACAGCTTGCACCACGCTGATGAGGGCCAACAGCCCGAAACACGTCCGTGGTTAGCTTTTCTTGATTAGTCAAGAATGGGTATTTGGCCAATTCTCGAATAATTAAAAATTAACGAGAATAGTTGATATTTATTCCGATAGATGGCGCAAGCCATCAGCAACTTTCAGTTGCACGATAAGGAGATGCCTTTTTCATAATACATATATATATCTCTATATATATAAAAGTCAATTTCTGTCTGTCTGTTTCGCGATAAACTCAAAAACTACTGAACCAATTGGTACCAAATTTTGCATGTCGCTTTTTATAAACCTGAGGAAAATTTTCGGCTGCATTTTGATTAGTATTTTTGGCTATTTCTTTTTTTCATTTGAAGAACTTTTTTTTACGCGGACTAATCCGGAAAGGAATGAATACCTAAATATGGCCATTTTTTTTAAAGCATCGGTGGTTCAGTGGTAGAATGCTCGCCTGCCACGCGGGCGGCCCGGGTTCGATTCCCGGGGATGCATTTTTTTTTTACAATTTTTTAAAACTCATTTATATTATATATAATATAAATATATATTATTATATCAACTATATTAATTAAATCAAATACCTAAACACTAATATAATACAATTTTTGCCATCACACACACTTTTTTCCTGTAGTTTGTGTTACGTCTGTATTGCTATTCTATGGCACTTCTAATATTTATTATTGATATACTTTTAGTATGAAGGAAATTGCACCCAAGGGATTTCTCGGGCGAAGCCGGGTCACAATAATTTTAGGCCGTGAATAGAATAGTCATATGATATTAACAATGAGAAAGAGAGAAAAAATCACTTTTATAAAACATTTTTTAAAATGGAATTAGGGCTTGAACATCTTTTGTCTTGAAATCTCGTGGCCCAGTTTTATCGATATAAAGAAACGAATTTTTATATTTATACAATTCTCGTGTCCTGGGTATCTGAAAGATTGTATCGCGGGGAAATACCTTTGTTCGTAAAAACCTCATCACCAACAAAGATTTCCATGAAATAATTTACATTTTAAACAAATTTTCAATGCATTAAATCACTAGGTTTAAGAGAGGAAAAAAGACATATCATTATTAAGCCATCAGCAACTTTCAGTTGCACGATAAGGAGATGCCTTTTTTCCTTTCTTAATTTATGCACCTTAGTACAATATCACATTTGTACAGTTTTTCAAAATCATTATAGTTATATTAAGATGCATTAGCGCTCCTTCTGTTATGAATATTAGAAACTATTATAAAAGTATGATTCTTTTAAAAATAAAACAATTTCTACTGTCCTTACTGCAATGGAAAAAATTAATGGGAAGGCCTGGCTCATCAGTGGTAAACCCTCCCAGCGGTTTCGCCAGTTTAATCTACCATACCGCTGTTATATTGCATTTTTCGATTTTTTTTTCGCAGTGATACTGATTCTAGGCTCTTGGAATGGGTATTTTAGATGAACTATGGACTTAAGCTAGTTAGAGTTAACTAGAAGTTATACCACTAATTGCTCACTCTTGTTGAAGGGGGGTATCTTAGACCGAAAGCTAGAGAAATAGAATTATACAAGAAAGGAAGCCCTGGATGTTTTATTGATTTTATTCAATTATGAGTCAGGGGAGAAAAACGTTTAATTAACTTGGTAGATATGCAAATTATTGTAATTGCGAATTGTTGCCTATCATTGATCGCAAACATTTGTTTTTTTTTATTTATTTTAAGACATCAGTGTTCTTTACCTCACAATAGAGTTAATCTCTAATTCGAATTAGAGAAAACAAAGTCATTAGAATTTGAGCTTCAGAATGTCTTCATAGTAAACGCTGTTTACATCCAAATTTCGCTTTCTAAAAATCGGACAGATTCTTTCGATAACTATGTTGTTGTTAGTGTTTATAAAGTCGATTTCGAATTTTGGTAACAACATGTGCAAATATTCCACTTTTTTTATCAATTGGCCATAGATTTTTCTCAGCAGTGATTAATACAAAAAATGGATTGCCAGTGCCTTCTTGTGGATCTCATGAAATAAAGTCCGCCCTAGACTGACGAGGGTCATTTGCCATAAACCATGGTCTCCAGGTGAACGTTTATCAGTTTTCCTTAGCTGGTGTTGTGGTTTTGTTACCGACCTGAGTCCGGTAGTTTACGGCGGCGGTCAATAGATGGCGTCAGGTTTTGGCGTCATTTTGACGAGGAAGGTGTACTTTAGCTTTGTATAAAAAAGAATTGCTATAGTCTGAATTATCGTGTTTCAAAGAGTCCTTTAATGTCCTTACATCCCTATATCTGGGGATGGCCAAACGCTTCTCTTCTCCAGTTGGTAGCCAGAGAAACAAGGCGGGCCTTGGATTCCATTCAAAATGCAAAACGTCCCAAAGGCCGCAATTAAGCCAATTACTGGTGTCGCCATTCGAGGCTATTTTCTTTTCTCTTTTTCACATCTGTCCCTTAACACGCATCGAACAAATTGGTGACAAAAAGTGACGTGTACTTTATTAGTATTTAAAAAACCTTTTCATTTTCTTTCCCCCCTTGTTTTACGTAATCTTTAATTTCTTCAGATGTTAATAGGAAGTTTTCTCTTTGTGGGAATGTTTATCTGAGTGATGACGTTCTCTCTGTCTGTCTGTCCCTCCGTCTTCCTGTCCGTCCATCTGTCTGTCTGCCCGTTTTTCTTCCTGTCTGTCTGTCAGTCCGTCCGTCTGTCTGTCTGTCTGCCCGTTTTTCTTCCTGTCTGTCTGTCTGCCCGTTTTTCTTCCTGTCTGTCTGTCAGTCCGTCCGTCTGGCTGTCTGTCCCTCCGTCTTCCTGTCCGTCCATCTGTTTATCTGTCTGCCCGTTTTTCTTCCTGTCTGTCCGTCTGTCTGTCTGTCTGCCCGTCCGTCTGTCTGTCTGTCCGTCCGTCTGTCTGTCTGTCTGCCCGTTTTTCTTCCTGTCTGTCCGTCCGTCTGTCATTCTGTCTGCCCGCTTTTCTTCCTGTCTGTCCGTCCGTCTGTCTGCCTGTCTGCCCGTTTTTCTTCCTGTCTGTCCGTCTGTCTGTCTGTCCGTCTTTCCGTCTGTCAGTCTGTCTGTCTGTCTTTCCGTCTGTCAGTCTGTCTGCCCGTTTTTCTTCCTGTCTGTCTGTCCGTCTGTCTGTCTGTCGGTCTGCCTGTCTGTCTTTCCGTCTCTCTGTCTGTCGGTCTGCCTGTCTGTCTGTCCGTCTGTCTGTCTGTCTTTCCGTCTGTCTGTCTGCCCGTTTTTCTTCCTGTCAGTCTGGCTATCTGTACATTTGTCCGTCATTTAGCGAGCTAATAAAAACAAAAATTGTTTTCACCTTTCATTTTTGTTAATGTTTTGGAAGCATTTGTTATTTTGTGAAAAAATGTTACAAAAGTAAAATAGTACTGGGATCAGGTGGGTAAATTAAGAAAAATGCATCTCCTGATCTTAAAACCAAAAATTGATGATGGCTTGTGCGATCAGTCGAAATAAATATCAACTAATTGTTGAATTTTAGCTAATATTATGGAATAATTAAAAAATAAACGATTAGTTGATTTATTCCGACAGATGGCACAAGCAATCAGAAACTTTTAGTAGCACGATAAGGAGATGTATTAATTAGTTATTTTGTCAACACTTGTGTAGAATATATATTTGCCTTGTTACGTCGACTGTAACCTATTAAAGCACCGTCTCGTGTAAAACAATAGAAGTTTTGCATTGATAGTTACGTTTAAACACGATTAGGGTTTTATCACTATACAGGACTCAATAATGTGAAACGTGTAATGTTCAACATCCGTGCACATGTGGATAGGAACAGCCTTGGCGTCCAGGAAGCCAATTTGTACCAATCGAGGTCAATTTCTCCCTTTTCTCTCAATACTGAGATTTGACAAAAATGTTATTATATGGTCTAAATTCCAGTCGTAAATATTTGCAGCGTGTCTTAAAGGAGAAATCGTTCAAGACATGGTATAAATATTTAGATCACGACATATAACAACATTTTCCTCAAATCCAGTATTGAGAGAAAAGGGAGAAATTGACCAATGGGAGAAAATAAAACATTTTGGTAAGTTCGCGAACCTTTTATTTGCCAGTAACTGTTTTGAACTAAAAAAATAGTGGCTTCAAAAGATTATGAATTAATTATAAATAAAGAATTTCAAAAATCACAGAGTTTAGTTAGAACAGAATTGATGGAAGCATTCAAAGTGAGCAAGTACCAGGCTGTGTGGTGAATGGTGAAGAAAAGTCGCGAGATGCTAATTCTAGTCTAGAACATTCTATAGAGTAACCCAGCGGTTTCGCCAATTTAATCCACCAGACCGCTTCTTTAGAGCTCTAATACTGTATTGGATCATTCTGCTTATATATGCAACACAGAAGAGTGGAATCTTAGGGATGTTATTTAAGCAAACTATGGACATAAGCTTTTAGAACAGTAGAATTACTTTTAAATATTTGCATCGAGCAATGCTCTTCCGCAAACAATAAGTAAAAGACCAGTTAGACATAAATTAATACATAGCAATAACGCGCCATCTATATAATACAAATGAAAACATCAAAATCACGTTTTGGTGTTTTCATTTGTAAAATTATAGAGTTCACAGCCCAAGTGTAGTAAGAAAGATATCCCTGTACAGCATCCTACACTCTGAGTAACTCCATCCTCCAGGACAACTCGCTCATATCCGCTCATCACCAAGTTCCAGATATTTCAGGAAGTTGCGCGGACTTCCTCCATGCCTCATTGCTCTGGGTAAACAATGAGCTGACACTGTGACCAGATCTATTTATTACTCATTCTATTTGTTTCGAAATATTTCGAACGAAACTCTATTTGCAAATGCCTTATATTGTAAAATGCTATGTATTAATTTATTCCTAACTGGCCTTGTCCTTATTGTTTAGGGGAGAGAATTGCTCGATGCAAATATTTATATGTAATTCTACTGTTCTAAAAGTTTATGTCCATAGTTTGCTTAAATACCATTTCTAAGATTCCATCCTTCAGTGTAACATATATAAGCAGAATGATCCAATATAATAAATAAATCGGTGGATGAGAGGGTAACACGCTCGATTCCCGACAGTCATGAACCGGGATTGGATTCCGCGTTAAAATTTGTCTAATATGAGAATAACCTTCACATATATTATTCACTGTTTCAATTATCATGAACTAGGTTGCTCTTGCTGAGCGGTACCTATTAATGTGAATTTGAACGAGGTTGAACCAAGATCCAATATAGTATTGGAGCTCTAAAGAAAATATCTGGTGGACTAAATTGGCGAAAATAAAGTAGCTAATCCTCGTTTTGGTTGAAACACAGTTAGACTTTCATGATTATCAATCCCAAATGTTCCAATTCCAGATGGTTGAAATCTCCAATTTCACAGAAAGAGTTCAGCATAAATCAAATCAAAACTGCACAGATCAAATTGAAGATATAGTTTGCCTGGCTGGTATTCAGATGTTTTACAAAGACAACGGACAGAGGTATC